GTGAGTGCACACTATATCTTTTCACTATCGGAAGAAGCACTTTTTGAAATTTGAGCTGCATGTCACTCTGACAGGATATTTACGGTTTCTAGTAGCTCACAAAAATTTCAATATAACCATAACTGTGACAGTATAATTAAAATGAAGGAGTGACACAAGCTGGCTCAAAAAAAACAAAATTAATCAGCGGCTGCAGTCACTGTTCAGGTATTCTGACAGCCACGGGCGCCAACTATCGGAAAACAATAGCTGGCAACGGGAGAGTCTTCCATCCATGTTGTTTAGTGTGGATGGGAGAATCTATGGATTTCTCATTGATAAATGAGAGAAATTTTTATGTGTATGACCAGCTTTAGTGGTAAGTTTGCAGTAACATGGAAAATAAGAGTGAAGAGTTGAGTTTCCTGTTTGTGCTCTATATGGTTGAATGGGTCCTTCATTTACAAGCACTAATAAAATATTGTTTGCAAGATAAGAATAAGGGTTGGAATTCTTTAACGTAAACCTGTACTTTGCCCACACGAAGCAGGTTCATTTTAATGCTCACTCTACCCCCAGAATGAACCCAACTCCCCTTTGCTCCCTTGTTGATCTGTTTGGCCACCTAGCCTGAAGAGAAGTGTACAGTATGTATGGGTATGAGGAGCACATGACTTCTTCTTCTTCCTCTCATGATTGTCAGGGATCCAGGTATGACCAGAGATGTGTGGATTGACACATGGAACAGCAGGCTTCAGAAATGATGAAATAATAATAAAATTTATTAGGAGCACAAATATACAAACACACATGCAACCAAAAACCAAACCTCCAACTAATAATAGATATGTACAATTGTAGTCAGGCTGGAGAGGTAGAGTAGTCAGCAGGCGGGTCAGAAACAATCGGGCAGACAAGGTACAAAAGGCAGGCAGGAGAATGGTCAGGAATAGCCGGGGTTGGTGCAGGTGGAGTTCTAGCAGAGTCAGAGTCAAGCAGGCAGGATACAGGAAACAGGAAACAGGATCAGGACAACAGGGCACATGGGAAAACACCAAGGCACTGATTGCAGGCCTGGTGCTGCTTAAATATACCTCCTGCAATCAGCCTCTGGTGATGGCTTGATTGCTGGAGTGAGATCCTGGCTGCTTAAAGCAAGCACAGTACTGCGCCCACACGGCAGGTGAGCACCCGTACAAGCAGAACCCAGCCCACATGGCAGGTGAGCCCATTCCTGACAATGATGCAACGCTAGATCCCTGAGCTGCCAGCTGCTAAGAACCAACACATGGTGGCAGGGAGAGTCTTTAGACAACATGTACTTGGAGTTTACACAGGTTTCTCTTTGCTCCTGCAGGTAAGTAGAACATGAAGTGGGAATGAAGTAAAGGTAAGTAAAAGTTGTGAGGGAGTGGGCATTCAAATGAACATGCACATTTTTTTGCATTCTAATGTTGCAACCTCTAAAGCATATCTTACAACATAGGTTTTAGGTACCACGAGTGGTAACTAATGTTGAATAATCATGATATAGAAGGAAGCACCAATGAATGAAATGTTCCTAAAGGTTCTATAAAGGTGTCGTAATTCATGGAACTTCTCCTACAAACTTCCAATTGGTTTCTTAATGTGATATGCAGGCTTAGTGTCCAATATTCCCAAAAGTTGGAGGAGTTAAGGAAGACATTAGGAAGTGGAGTCAGGACTTGCATGTTTGAGTAGCTTTGTGCTTCTGGGTTGCTATGAAGATAACTTCATGTGAACCTCAAGGTGACTTCAGTTAAATGTTTCCATTAGTTTACTGCAACCACGTTTACTACCGATATACTTTAAGGCTGAATAGATAATTTGTAAAGTACCTCTTATGGTAAAGATACATTTTTCAGATAAAAGTAATAAAAAAAAAAAATAATTACATTTTCTCATAAACAGCTGACCCCATGGGATTTCATTTTTGTTTTCAGAACAGATTATACCTCTTTAGTACAGTAATGTTACAAGCCAACCTCTTTGTTCCTCCACTAACACATCAGCATCTTCCCATATAGCTAAAGGTTACTCTTGCATAAGAATAACACACATTCTTTTCACCAAAGTATTTGGCTTCACCACATTCTTAAAATGTTTCTGAAAACCCACCTCATCAAAACATCCCGCCTTATTAATGAGCAATGAGCTACCATCACCTCCAGCCAATGCTATCTTACATGCCAGTGACATTTAGTGTAACCTGTCATAGACTGAAGCAGCCTTTTTCAACCTTTTTACCCCTGAGGAACACATGAAATTATTTTCAGGTTCTCAGGGAACCCCTGCTAAAAAGGATTCTACCTATAGCTCACAATTTGACGCGATCAATGTGTTGAAGACATTTAAAAAATATAGAACAAGTATTGTGGAGTACCTAGCATATTTAATACCTAAAGCAGTTCATTTTCTTACTAGTACACATACAGTTTTTTTTCAGTAATATTCTTGAAATAAATAATAACTGCAGAAGAGAAAAAGCAGACAGTAAAAAATTGTGGGAATGTCTAACATTAGTGGTCAGCACAGAACTGACCCCTTATACATGAGGTTAGTGAAAAATTGTCCCTTGTATTGATGTTCATTGCTTAAGGAAACTCTAGCAGCCCTCGGAGGAACCCTGGTTGAGATTCACTGGACCAGGGGCGGACTGACCATTTGGAAACTCGGGCACTGCCCGAGGGCCCGGGGTCAGTAGGGGGCCCCATGAGATACCCTTAGTACCTTTTTCATAGGCGTTTTTGAGTTTGGGCAAGGACACAGGGGCCCCATGATCCCCTATTACCTGGGGGCCCCATGAGTTGTCAGTCCGCCCCTGCACTGGACTAAAGATTTGTTGGGGTAAACTCCTTATCCCCTCAGATTAATTTGAACAGTTTCTGCTTTTGTTTGCACCTATTTATTATATGATGTAAAGCACTGAGTATTAGCTTTATAAATAAAATAAATAAACATGGTTAGACAAAGTGGATGGAGAAATACCCCCAGTGGGACATTGTATTTTGCCAGGGTCACCCACCAATGTCAGAATACACTGACCAGTGGCAGCAGCTGATTGGCTGCAGCCATTGATTAATGGAAACATTTCCAATGTGTCCCTTGGACAGGAGATAATTAAGCAATTGAGTGCAGTTGAGCAGGGCAGTCCAAACACTGACTGAAATTTCAGCAGGCCAAAATAATTTTATAGGAGTATGACGGGCCTAAGGAAATGTGAAAAAAACACATAAAAATGAAATACAAAATTACAAATATTTTTTTTTAATCAGGCCTGGAAAAGAGTAATGTTTTCATCCAGAAGATCTTAATTTTGCACATTGCTTATGTCATATTATCTAAAGATTGAATGTTAATACTAGAACCTGGATTTAAACTAAGATAAACTTTAACCACAACCAGCAAGGCAGAATAAAAAAGCAGAACATTGTGAATAGCACAAGATAATTGTAAAGTTACAATAAAGAATTCAGGAAGTGAATAGACACTTGTAAATACATAATACATCATTTGGAAACAATGTGCCAAGAGCGTTTGATAGATACAGTTTATTGTTGTACTGAACAGTGAAAATACCAAGCACACAAATTACATTTTCACTGCATGGAAAGCCCTTTATTTATTTTACAAACATCCTCCCATGTAAGCTCCCACACAAAATTAATACAATACAATCAATACAATGATCTGGAAACAGGTTATTGTGATCAAGCCACAGCTGGCTGAACAGGCTGTAAGAAACCTCTCTCATTGAATCATGACAGTTTTACTATAGAGCAGTATTAAACCCCAAAACAATAATTTATTATATTGCAGTTTACCAATCCTTAGATGTGATGTCTACATTAGTTTTATCTTTTTAGTTTTTTTTTTTAGACATCACCTGTTGATTGAATGTTAAAAGCAAATGAAATTTTGAAGTACTTTTCAACAACATTTTCATGCCTCTGATGTCATTGTTGAATGTTTAGATGAGATTTTTTATATGAATGTTTATATGAAGGTCTAACAGTGTATGACCAGTTTAAGACAGGAAGTGTGTAACTGGCTGGATCACCAGATGAAAATAAAGTAATAAAAGCCTAAAAAGAAAACAAATGCAGCCACCACATTTAAGGTTTTGTATGGTGCATATTAAATGTCTGTTTTTGGCTTTAATACTGTTCATTGTACTATACATGAATTGATCTGATCTATGAAAAAAGCATGAACAGAAAATTACATGCAGGTGTATGTCTGGGCAAATATATATATATATACTATATTGCCAAAAGTGTTGGGATATCCACCTTTCCATGCACAAGAACTTTAATGGCATCCCAGTCTTAGTCCGTAGGGTTCAATATTGAATTGGCCAACACTTTGAAGCTATAACTGCTTCAACTCTTCTGAGAAGGCTGTCCACAAGGTTTAGGAATGTGTCTATGGGAATGTTTGACCATTCTTCCAGAAACACATTTGTGAGGTCAGGCAATGATGTTGGATGAAAAGGCCTGGCTCGCAGTCTCCACTCTAATTCATCCCAAAGGTGTTCTATCAGGTTGAGGCCAAGACTCTGTGCAGGCCAGTCAAGTTCCTCCACCCCCAAACTCGCTCATCCATGTCTTTATGAACCTTGCTTTGTGCATTGGTGTGCAGTCGTGTTGGAACAGGATGGGGCCATCCCCAAACTGTTCCCACAAAGTAATGAGCATGAAATTGTCCAAAATGTCTTGGTATGCTGATGCCTTAAGAGTTTTCTTCACTGGAATAAAGGGGCAAAGCCCAACCCCTGAGAAACAGCTCCACACCATAATCCCCTCTTCACCAAACTTTACACTTGGCACAATGCAGGCAAGTCTCATCTCCTGGCAACCACCAAACCCAGACATGTCCATCAGATTGCCAGACAGAGGCATGATTTGTCACTCCAGAGAACACATCTCCACTACTCTAGATTCCAGTGGCGGTGTGCTTTACACCACTGCATCCAGCTCTTTGTACTTGGTGACATACGGCTTGGATGCAGCTGCTCAGCCATGAAAACCCATTCCATGAAGCTCTGTACGCACTATTGTGCTAATCTGAAGGCCACATGAAGTTTGGAGGTTTTTAGCTATTGACTCTGCAGACAGTTGGTGACTTCTGCGCACTGTGCGTTTCAGCCTGTGCTGACCCCGCTCTGTCATTTTATGTGGCCTACCACTTCTTGCTTTTGTTCCCAGTTGATTCCACTATGCTATAATACCACTAACAGTTGACCGTGGAAGATTTAGTAGCAAGGAAATTTCACGGATGGACTTATTGCACAGGTGGCAACCTGTCACGGTACCAGGCTTGAATTCACTGAGCTCCTGAGAGTGACCCATTTCTTTCTCAAATGTTTGTAGAAGCAGTCTGCATGCCTAGGTGCTTGATTTTATACACCTGTGGCCATGGAGGTGATTGGAACACCTGAATCCAATGATTTTGAGGGAGGGGTGTCCCAATACTTTTGGCAATATAGTGTGTGTATCAGGGTGGACTGACCATTCGGGCATTGCCTGAGGGCCCGGGTTGAGTAGGGGGCCCGGTGAGAGGCTCATTGGGCACAATTCACTAAGCAGTATCTTACTGCGCCCGAGTATATGGTAGGATATCACATAGCATTTTTTTTTAAAAAAAGTTTTAATTCACCAAGAAACACTACTAAAATATTTTAGTAGTAAAAACTATGCGTTAATGTTTCAGTTGTCAGTGGGGTAAAAGAAAGAATTGCCAGAAAATTACAAAAATTATTTTAAAAAACGCGTGGGTTCCCCCTCGGGTCTGGTATGGACTTTGAGAGGAACCCCCACGCCAAATTTTTTAAAAAAAATCCATACCAGACCCATACCTGAGCATGCAGCCTGGCAGGTCAGGAAAGGGCGGGGTACGAGGGAGCACCCCCTCCCCGTGAACTATACCAGGCCACATGCCCTCAACATGGGAGGGTGCTTTGTGGTGGAGGGGCTCCCCCAGATTTTGCCCCTCCATGTGAATGAGTATGGGGTACATGGTACCACTATCCATTCACACACAAAAAAAAAAGTGTAGTGTGAAAAAAGACAGGAGACAGTCTCTGACAAGTCCTTTATTAAAAGAAGAAAAATAAAAGAATGTCCCCCAAAGTAGATCCAACGTCAATATGCCCGCTGCCGCTACCCAAAAAAAAGAGAGAAAAAAAAGGATCCGCTCTTGACGCTGGCTCCCGGCCGTCTGACGTATCCGCTGGCTTGACTGTTTTTAAATATGTTAGGGGTGGGGCCACCCAGGGACCCCTCCCCTTGTGGCATCATCAACTGGGGCATGCGGGGCAATGATGTCACAAGAAGGTGGGGCCACATGCATGATGTCACTGGATGATGTCAACTAATTTGAGTAAAACTGAAGACTTTGTAATCTAAGTCATACCTTACTTTCATGTAATGAGCTAAACAAATGTTCTATAAAACTCAGTTTTGTAAAAATTTAGGAAATTGTTCACGTGTTCATTGATATATTGATTAAAATCTTACTTTTCAAATGGGGTGTACTCATTTATGCTGAGCGCAGTATATATATATATATATATATATATATATATATATATATATATATACACTCCTCAAAAAAAATTAATGGAACACTTTAAAAACACATCATATCTCAATGGGGAAAAATATTATGCTGGATATCTATACTGATATGGACTAGGTAATGTGTTAGGAATGTAAGGATGCCCCATCGTTTGATGGAAATTATCAACCTACAGTGAACTGAATGCAAAGACACCCCGAAAATCAAAGTGAAAAAAATTATGCAGCAGGCTGGTCCATTTTGCTGAAATTTCATTGCAGCAACTCAAAATGGTACTTAGTAGTTTGTATGGCCCCCACCTGCTTGTATGCTTGCCTGAAAACATCGGGGCATGCTCCTAATGAGACAACGGATGGTGTCCTGGGGTTTTTCCCCCAGATCTGGACCAGGGCATCACTTGGCTCCTGGATAGTCTGAGGTACAACCTGGTGGCATTTGATGGACGGAAACATGATATCCCAGAGTTGTTCTATTGTATTTAGGTCAGGCCAGCGTAGAGGCCATTCAATGGTATCAATTCCTTCATCCTCCAGGAACTGCCTGCATACTCTTGCAACATGAGGCCGGACATTCTCCTGCAATAGGAGGTACCCAGGACCCACTGCACCAGTGCACCAGTGTAGGGTCTGACAATGGGTTCAAGGATTTTTTCCAGATATCTAATGGCAGACAGGGTTCCATTTTCTAGCTTGTAGAGGTCTATGTGTCCCTCCATGGATATGTTGCCCCAGACCATCACTGACCCACCACCAAAACGGTCATGTTGAATGATGTTACAGGCAGCAGAATGTTCTCCATGGCTTATCCAGACCCTTTCACGTCTGTCACATGTGCTCAGGGTGAACCTGCTCTCATCTGTGAAAAGCACAGGGTGCCAGTGGCAGACCTGCCAATTCTGGTGTTCAATGGCAAATGCCAATTGAGCTCTTTAATGCCGGGCAGTGAGCACAGGGCCCACTAGAGGACGTTGGGCCCTCAGGCCACCCTTATGAAGTCTGTTTCTGATTGTTTGGTCAGAGACATTCACACCAGTGGCCTGCTGGAGGTCATTTTGTAGGGCTCTGGCAGTGCTCATCCTGTTCCTCCTTGCACGAAGGAGCAGATACTGGTCTTGCTGATAGGTTAAGGACCTTCAATGGACCTGTCCAGCTCTCCTAGAGTAACTGTCTGTCTCCTTGAATCTCCTCCATACTCTTGAGACTGTGCTGGGAGACGCAGCAAACCTTCTGGCAATGGTACGTATTGATGCGCCATCCTGGAGGAGTTGGACTGCCTGTGCAACCTCTATAGGGTCCAGGTATCACCTCATGCTACCACTGTAGTGACACTGACCCTAGCCAAATGCAAAGCTAGTGAAAAACAGACAGAAAATATGAGTATGGAAAAAAATGTCAGTGGCCTTCACCTGTAAAACCATTCCTGTTTTGGGGGTCGTCTCATTGTTGCCCATCTAGTGCACCTGTTGTTATTTTCATGAACACCAAAGCATCTGAAACTGATTAACAACCCCCTCTGCTGCTTAGCTGGCCAGATAAATATCCCAGGAGTTAAATTGACTTGATGCTATACTCTGATTAAAAAGTGTTCCTTTAATTTTTTTGAGCATTGTATACAGGATATACAGTGTATATAGAGAATATTTATCCAGCTGTATTTACTCAGTGCAACTCATAACATCCAAGTGAAACACATGACACCAAAATATCAGAAACAACTAAAGAAATTTAAAAAATAGGATCAGTGAGTTGGAAAAAGGGTCATCCCCCTCCTAAAAATTACTTGTAAATTCAATCAGGTGTAGCTAATCACCTTCTCAATGGCACACTTCGGCTGGTTCACACTAGATGCTGTACAGTGGGGTTTTTTTTCTGCATCAAAAGTGCATGCACAGTGTTTTCCATGTATTCCAATGACCCTAGTTCACACCAGTGCAGTCAAGTACAGTCAGTTTCCAGTGCATGTTGCATTTTTTCTGCACAGAACTGTACTGAAGCTCAGCAAAACACATCAAAAACGCATCAGAATGAAGTGTGGTGTGAACTGTAAGCCAAAACATATCCGGAATGCATCTGGAGAGTGCTTTTGTGGCGTGAACTGGCCCAAAGCTGCTTGACTGTCAACTGTGATCAGCGGTGGTCATTTTGATTAACTCAGCATGAAAAGAGCTAACCTGGAGCATTTTAGTCCCTGGTAGTGCAACTGAAGCAAACAATCAACTATGGGTGGCAAAGGATCAAAGATAAAGTTGTGGACAAGCATAAGTCAGGAGATGGATACAAAAACATTTCAAAGGCTTTATCAATGCCTAGAAGCACAGTGAAGTCTATTATTAAGAAGTGGAAGGTATTTGGTACAACACAGACCCTCCCTGGATCAGGGCATCGCTCCAAACTGGATGAAAGAACCAGGAGAAAACTGGTCACAGAGGCTACCAAGAGGCCTACAGCAATTTTGAAGCAGTTGCAGGAATTTATGCCGAAGAGTGGTCATTGTGTGCATGTGACAACAATATGACAAATTCTCCACAAGTGTGGCTTGTTTGGGAGGATTTGAAGAAAAAAATCTACTCCTCAAGAAAGGCCACATGCAGCCATGACTGCACTTTGCCAAAATGCACCTTGAACATCCTGCGGCCACATGGATAAAAGTGTTATAGTCAGATGAGATTAAAATGTAATTATTTGGCCTCAACACTAAATGGTATGTCTGGCAGAAATCTAATACAGCTCACCATCCAAATAACACCATTCTTACAGTAAAGCATAGAGGTGGTAATATCCTGTTATGGGGCTATTTCTCTGCAGCAGGGACTGGAGGACTTTTCTCAGGATAGAAGGAAAAATGGATGGGGAAAAATACCGTGAAATTCTTGAGGAAAATCTGCTGCCCTCTGCTAGAAAAATGTCCATACAGTGGTTGAAGGAGAAAAAGGTGAATGTCCTAGCATTGCCTAGTTAGAGCCCAGACTTTGAAAATTTGTGGAATGATTGAAGACTGCAGTCCAAAATGAGTCACCAACAAATTTAACTGAATTTGAGCAGTTCTGAAATAGAAGAGTGGGCAAATATTGCAAAATCTAGATTACAAAGTTAGTAGAAACATATCCCAACAGATTAAAGGCTATAATTAAAGAGAAAGGTGGTTCAGCAAAATACTGACACAAGGAGCTTATGCTTTTTTCAATTCATTGATTCTGTTGTAAAGGGGGGGGGGGGTTGATTCTTTTCTATACCCACTGTATATATATATTCCAGTCCTGCAAAAAATGTCCCTGCAGAGAGCTCCTCTATTTCTTTGACAGTTCCTTGACATTTATAGCAGTTGCAACAATGTATCTATTTGTTTCCGAATAAAAACATCTGTATCCTAAATGGATACAAATACATTGTTGCAACCGCTATAAATGTCAAGGAACTGTCAAAGAAATAGCGGAGCTCTCTGCAGGGACACTTTTTTCCGGCTGTAGACGGGATGAAAATTGGCAGATTTTCGACTCGTCTATGTGCCTTTGAGAGAGTGAGGGGTAGAGGAGGCATTGCTCAGCTTAATGGGCTATTAGTGTGAGGGAGAGGGGACGTTACTTAAAATTAGGAGGTAATAGTGGATTGTTATTATATTATGTATTCTTAAAATAATTTATTTTAAACGTCTAAAAAAAAGTGTTTTATTATGTAATATTATGTACATTGTAGAATACTGTTTGTGGAATAAATTGTGTTATTTTATTTTTGGGTCGCAACTTAATGACCAAGGACAAATGTGGGTCCTGAGGTTCCACAGGTTGACAACCACTGCTTTTTAAGCTC